AGGCTTAGGCATCCTTTTATTGTATGATGAATGTATCTTGACTTGATGTCTTAATGTCATGAATTGGTAGACCTAATGTTGGTAGCCTTTCATGAATGAATGAATGATGAAGTATTCTAGGCTATGTCTTGAACTGGTAGACCTAATGTTGGTGGCCCTTCATGATGAGTCTAGGAACCAATGTGATGCTAAACCTCAAAACGAAAGACCTAATGTTGGTGGGCCTTTCTTGTGTGAAATGATGAACCTTGAAACGGTAAACCTAATGGTGGTGGCCCTTTCTAGGAAGATCAATGAGCTATCCTTAAATGTACATTGAATCGATAGACCTAATGGTGGTGGCCCTTCATGTGTAATGTGCTTTGGGTCAGTAGACCTAATGTTGGTGGCCCTCTCAAGTACAATGATGTAATGTAAATGAAACTACTCTATGGGAATGGTGGCTAAGCAACGAGTGGATATGGTAAGATGGAAACTCTCCCAATGTTAGTCTAGGGTTTCAATGAACATCTTCCAATCCCATAACTATGTGCCCACATAGGATTTTAGCCTGTGGATTTCATCCAAGCTAAATGTACCTAGTTCTACCTTAGGCAAGTAGAATACCTTTTTACGGTGTGGGGTCATACGACACCAGATTCCATGGTTAGCTCTCATGGTCTATGTTGGTTAATGCCTATTCCCATCATGTGAGATGTGCATTGTGGTTTCTTGAGAAGTTCTATGAAGTGTGGGTGGTATATGGGATGCCATCCATGCATTGCACGAGTAGGCTTTGAGAGGGTCATAGTGAGTTCTCTAAGTCTTAATGACTATTGTATGAAAGTCCTCTAAATGAAGTTATTGAAGAATATTGACTCTTAAATGCTTAATGGGATGATGCATGCTATACTTGGGTTATATTATGAGTCATTTTCCCTTGTCATGCCTTATAAAATGTTATGCCTCTTATGTATGGATATTGTGTAAAGGTGAAAAGGAATGAATGGTAAGTCCACTTTTGGTGACCTTAATGTGGTGCCTTAGTTTGGATGATGGTATGGGACGCTATCCATATATTGCACAAGGTATAGCATGAGGGTTACTTGAAGTGAAGGTTTAAGGTGAAGGTAATGGTTTACATGTTGATATTGTCTAAATGTGAAGTTATGATTTGTATGATGATTATACATGTATTTGATGTCTCTTATGCTATTGTTCATGATATTTTCTAAAAAGTGACATAATGCATGGTTTCCAACCAAAATGTCCCTTTTAAAGCATGTTTTTGCATGGTCATCATACTTAGTACATTTTTGTCTGCTAACCCATATTTTTCTTATTTTACTACAAGTGTAGGTTCCGGCAAGTGATTGCTTCTATCTAGATTGAAGTGCTTGGATTGAGATTTCCTCCAAGGCTAAAGTGATACGTCCTCATAGATCGAGGACAAGTGTCTTTTTAAAAGTTTCTTTCTTTCCATGTAATAGACATTTCTAGTATTTTCGATTGTAAAGGGCCGTGTCCCTATTTTGGTTTTCAAGACTTTGTTTAGATGGTCATGTGAAACTTTAGTAGACTTCCGTTGTATTTTAAAGTGTTTTCTTAAATGAAGTTTGAATGTTTTGGATTAAATAAGTTTTAATTCCGCACTATTTTCCTTATATCGAATGTTATGAATGTTATGAGGCTTGTATGAGACCCTTCAAGGTCAAGTACGCCATGTCGCATCTGGGGTGTGGGCCCGGGTCGTGTTAATTGAATTCGATAGCCGTTCTTGTTGTTACGGTTTGTTGGAGGAATCATCCAGTTGAGTAGGCTACTTGAGAGACCCAGCACGAGGTACACGAGTAGTTTACCTGCTTGTTTGAGCCTTTAGGTATTTTTTAATTCTTTAGTTTCGTGGATGTAAGTTCTTTTTAGTAGTGCATATTGTAATAACCCTTCAAATATTTATTTTTTTGTGTTTTTAGCATTTAATGTGTTCCTACTGTGAAGCCAAGTCATTTAGGACTTACTGGGATGGATAGTTCGGTCACCTGAACATTTACTTGGTTTTTATTCAATTTTTTGTCTTCAGGAGGTTTTGAAATTTGAATGGTTGAATTTGTTCAATGGTTTAGTAAGATGACATTAAAATGCAACTCTGACGGTTCTGTTATCTCTAGAACATTGAGTTTGGTCTAGAAAGTCCTTTGGTGCGGATCCCAAGGCTTCCAAGCTCATCCTAAGCCCTCTAGTGGGCTTAAAGTGAAATTTGGATGTGGGACAAAATTTTCATCAAGACGACCTTCGTTGGAAGTGTTGACATCTTCTTTGAGTCTGGAGTGCCATTTTTTCTGGGGAAGCATATCTTGTTTGCATGCACGGGGTTCCGGAAAAAATTCAAGAAGCATGTCGATAATTGTTAAGTTGGGCAAAATCAGTTGATGTGCATTAACTGATGCAACCACTTTTTCCTCTTAACGTTCGAAGACACCCACCACAAATTTACACAAATCAATATACATTTGAATATTCGAGCTCTGATAAAGGATCGGAAGCTGTATCCTACCTCAAAGTAGACCGTGTGCGCTTTAAATCACAACTCTAGGAATTTTCCATTCGGTATTACCTGTTAATGCTACCAGACTATCAAAAAAAAGAATCACAATGTCAAGGAGGTCGTTAGACACTAAAAACACATAAAAATAAGATATTCCTTGGTTTACCAAGAAACAACTAACTATTACATGCTCAAGCACAAAAGTTGAATAACATGTGCTGGATGTTGCAAATGTTGATGTTGTATGGATACAATTTCTCGTACGTAACATGGTTATTATTTTCCTGTGCTTATAATTGCAAAATGTGATAAAATTGGTTCCATCCATCTTGCAAACAATGTCTTTCACTCCAGATCAAAACATGTTTCTTGGGTCTATCTTTTTATTTGTAAGAAGATTACCCAAGTTGACCTCACTTATTATAATGTTACCACCTTAAAACATCTTGCAAATGTTTTTACTAATGGTGTCTCTGTTACAAAATTCAAGAAGTTTCTAGAAAATCTTTATGTTCGCTCCTCCACTTCAAATTGATGGAGAGTTGCAAGAATATAATTGTAAATATACTTTAAACAATCATATACTTTTAATTGACTTATAAATAACACATGTCCTAGCCCTTGCTATTCACGAAGGACTTTGTTATTCTTGTTTATTATTTCTCTCTTCTCTCTATAACTTAGACTTCAACAGTAGTGTTTATTTATCTTGCAGTTATTGATCTTTCATACCAAGACACGAGTCTCTCTCTCTCTTTTTAACAACATGATATTAGAAATAAAACCCTACATATTTGGAACCATAACCTTATATTTATAATAGGCACAATTGTATATAATTAATTTAGCACATCATTAAACTAGAAGTTACTTTTGGATAGCTACACATAAGGCCCCTTACTTAGTGAGGTGTCTTTTAGACCCATTAAAATTAAACCTTAAAACATAACAATTAATTTGGGTCAACCTTTTGACCATAGCAACCAACATACAATTATTCTTAATAGTATGTAGAAGTCCACAAAAAAACAATATATGTAACCCACCATATATTGCATATATAGTGTATCACATGCATTCACTTATCCAATATGTGAAACACCTTCAAAATTACTTAGTTTTTGTGTCAAATAATTTTGCTCTATATAGTCCTCTAATTCTTCGATCTATAAATTCATACCCATCCAATTCTTCTTGTTGTCAAGGTAACATATAATGGACTTATAGTGGTGTGATTTAGAATTTTTTGGGGCCAACTTATTCCTTGATTAAGATTTACTATCTTGTGGTTGTTAATTTATTACATCCTATTAAGTTAAATTTTATCCAATTAAGAAATGCTTGAAATGCTAAAATATGTTTTCTTAACTAGTTTAGTAAGTTCTTTGGGATTTTTGTTAAGTATTCGGCCAAATTCACTAGTATACATGAAATATACACTAATTATATATTCTCCAACTATATTTAGTTTACATGGTCAGTTGAGTGCCTATTAAGGTTAATTTGCTAAGATATTTTTCCCTCATACATTCATGCTTTATTAGTTTCTGGTGACTAGTAAGCTATGAAATGTATCACTACAATATCGCACTTCAAAAATCATCAGAGTCCCTCGATTTTTGTAAGAAAAATAATTGAGGGATTGCGTCGTTTATATTTTTGAAAAATTTAAATATTTGCACAAAAACGTGATGAGCGTTCGTTGATTTTCTAAGAGTCTGTCAGTTTTCTATCTAAAAAAAAAACACAATGGACTGCATTGGTTTTCCCTCGGTATCATGCAACGACCCTATCCGTCAATTTTTGCATTATTTTTAATTGTGATTTTTGACGATCCTAAAGAATATCTATTCATTCTTCAGCATATAGATGTGGAAGTATGACCATGAAAAATTCTAAGTTCTAAACTTGATGCTATTGTATGTTGAAATGTGAACTCTTCAGGTGCTTAACATTTACTACCTATTTCTCATTTTACTTTTTATGTATTTATGTAATTAGACTTCTTTTGACTTTTCTATGCTCTAGCTCAACTGAAGTTTACTATACTTTGTCAATAGAATTATAAGAGATCTAGCAATGTTGATTTATTTCTGAAAATGATGCATAAAGTGTCTAGATCAAAGTTTTCTAAAGTGTTAACAATTTTGTAATGACCCTCCAGGTAATTTCTGTGTTTATGCCTTTTATTCATCCATTATTGACTACATGTGTTATGGGATACTTCCAGAAAATCCAAGGAGAAGTACTGACATTCGTCGTCGTGCACCTCGCTTCCTTTACTACAAGGACACATTATATAGAAAATCATTTGAGGGTGTACTATTCCGATGTTTGGGAGAGGAAGAAGCAAATCAAGCTTTGCAAGAAGCACACTCGAGATTTTGTGGATCACATCAATCTGGATCGAAACTCCACTTTCACATAAAGAGGATGGGGTATTATTGGCCAACCATGGTGAAGGATTGCTTAGATTATGCTCGGAGGTGCAATGCTTGTCAATTTCATACATCAGCCGCCCGAAGTACTGCACCCAACTATTGCATCTTGGCCATTTGACGCTTGGGGATTGAATGTTGTGGGACCACTACCAAAATCTTCTGGTGGACACTTGTACATCTTGGCTACAACTAATTACTTCTCAAAATGGGCTGAAGTTGTCGCTCTTAAAGAAGTGAAGAAAGAGAATGTTGCAAATTTTTTCCGAGTGAATATCATCTATCACTTTGGCATCCCTCGCTACATAATAACAGACAATGGCAAGCCATTTGATAACAAGTTATTGAACAAGATTTGTGATCTCTTTGGCTTCAAGCAGCGTAGATATTTTATGTATCATACTGCCGCCAATGGTCTTGGTGAAGCATTCAATAAGACTCTACGCAACCTCTAGAAGAAAGTTGTCTCCAAGTCCAAATGGGATTGGCATGAAAGAATGGAACATACAACACTCCAATTCAAGCAACACCATATTCACTTGCTTTTTGAGTTGAAGCAGTCCTACCACTCGAGTGTCAAATATCTTCCTTAAGACTTGCTATTCAAGAAGGGCTCACTGAGGAAGAAAATGCTCGACTGCGTCTTGCTGAGTTAGAAGCACTTGATGAAAAGAGGCTAGAAGCCCAACAAAACCTTGAATGTTAGCAAGCTCGTCTAACTCGTGCTTTCAATAAGAAGGTTCACTTGAGGTGCTTCCAAGTTGGAGACCAAGTTCTCGCAGTAAGAAGACCCATCATTACTTCGCACAAGTCTAGGGGGAAAATTACCTCAAAGTGGGATGGACCATATGTCGTACAAGAAGCATATTCACATGGTGCTTACAAGCTTGTTGATGCAGATGGCGTAAGGATCAGTCCTATTAATGCAAAATTCCTAAAGAGGTACTACCCTTGAAGATAATGCTCCGTAGGGTATGAGCCTAAACTGCATGTCACTCCTGGCCCGCAAAAGTATAAACTGTGTACGGCAAAATAAAAAAATACACTCACTCCCCCAGAACTACGTTGTGACTTGATCTCTTCACTGAAGTACGTAGGCGCTTAGAATATATCCTAAGTTCAGTTGCATGAGTGTCAAAAAACCACATGTTCCCACTTGATCTGTCATATGACAGTCAAAGCGATTAAGTATTTTGTTTTATCTTTTGTCTCATCAAACTTTAGACGTGTATGAAGTATTGATTGGTCAATAAATGGGAGCAAACCCTTAAACAATATGAGTTTTGTTAACAACATGCTTGAAGTTTCTTTAAAATTGAAGTCTTCAAATCCTCCAAGTATACAAGTTAGAGTCTTCAAATCTTCCAAGTATACAAGCTGAAGTCTTCAAATCTTCCAAGTATGCGAGTTGAAGTCTTCAAATCTTCCAAGTATGCAAGCCGAAGTCTTCAAATCTTCCAAGTATGCAAGCTGAAGTCTTCAAATCTTCTAAGTATGCAAATTAATGTCTTCAAAGTCCTCCAAGTCTGCAAGTTGAGGTCTTCAAATTCTTCAAGTCTGCAAGTTGGGGTCTTCAAATTCATTAAGTCGACAAGTTGAAGTCTTCAAATTCTTTAATTCTGCAAGTTGAAGTCTTCAAGTTGAAATCTTCAAGTCTGCAAGTTGAAATCTTTCAGTCTGCAAGTTGAAGTCTTCAAATTCTTCAAGTCTGTAAGTTGAGGTCTTCAAATTCTTCAAGTCTGCAAGTTGAGGTCTTCAAATTTTTCATCTACAAGTTGAGGTCTTCAAATTCTTTAAGTCTGCCAGTTGAAGTCTTCAAATTATTCAAGTCTGAAAGTTGAAGTTTTCATGTCTTGACTCCATAAATTACCTTTCTTAGGGAGGGGATGTGTATACTATCCGCTTTTGCCTTACGAATACCATAAATTACCTTTCTTAGGGCGGAGATTTATATCTATCCGCTTTCACCTTAAGAATACCATAAAGTTACGTTTCTTAGGGCGGGGATGTGTATCTATCTGTTTTTGCCTTAAGAATACCATAAAGTTACCTTTCTTAGGGCGGTGATTTGTATCTATACTCTTTCGCCTTAAGAATACCATAAAGTTACATTTCTTAGGGAGGGGATGTGTATCTATCCACTTTCGCCTTGATCCGCTTTCGCCTGAAGAATACCATAACTTACCTTTCTTAGGGCGGGGATGTGTATCTATCCGCTTTCGCCTTAAGAATACCCTAAAGTTACCTTTCTTAGGGCGGGTATGTGTATCTATCCGCTTTCTCCTTAAGAATACCACGAATTACCTTTCTTAGGGTGGGGATGTGTATCTATCCTCTTTCGCCTGAAGAATACCATAAATTACCTTTCTTAGGGCGGGGATGTGTATCTATCCGCTTTTGCCTTACGAATACCATAAATTACCTTTCTTAGGGCGGGGATGTTTATCTATCCGCTTTCGCCTGAAGAATACCATAACTTACCTTTCTTAGGGCGGGGATGTGTATCTATCCTCTTTCACCTTAAGAATATCAGCTGTATGACAGAATTTAAAGTTATCTTCGAAAAATCACCTAGAACGATTTTGAAGGTATTAAATCTTGAATTTCGGATATGTTGTAGACCTTTGTGTCTAGATTCTAAATAATCAAGCGTCTTGTCATTTCGTCGCTCCTACATCAAGACACAAGAGTTATAGTAAAGCCACACAAATCTGAAATTTTCAGCATGACAGAATTTAAAGCTAACTTCAAAAAATCATCTAGAAAGATTCTAAAGGTATTAAATTTTGAATTTCGGATATGTTGAATACCTTTGTGTCTAGATTCAATAATCAAGCAGCTTGTGATTTCGTCGTTCCTACATTAAGACACGAGAGTTTTAGTAAAGCCGCAAAACCCTGAAATTTTCAGCATGGCAGAATCTAGAGCTAACTTCAAAAAATCATCTGAAAAGATTCGGAAGGTGTTAAATTCTGAATTTTGATATGTTAGATATCGAGAAGTCTAGTTTCTGGAAAATTAAACCGTTCATGGTTTCGATTTTTCTACAATGAGATATAACTTTTCTAACACAGTTGTGTCAAGCTGTAAATATTTTTGACGTAAATCAGAAAAAGGGAGGAAAATTACCTTTAATTATGCCCCTTTCGTCATAGGCTTGTAGCTCACGATCTGTAATTGAAAACAAAGTTGTGGAGACAATGTGTCTATTTATAGATGTCATGTGATGGGAATAAAATCCTTCTCCTAGTTCAATTACAATTCCTTTTTGATTAGGATAATAGAAAAGGACATGAATTTGAAATTGAATGTGACTACAATTCCTAGTTCAACTACAATTTGAACTTAAATGGCGTCATAACATAAGATTTTGAGGCGGTGGTTTTATCCTACTACAACTACAATTTGTGCTAAAATTTGCATCATAATATAAGATACATATTTAATATCTTCACCTGCCACGTCAACATTCATGATTCCTATCCTAGGCGGTTGTTTATTTGTGGCCATAAATAGATCGGTCAACCATCATATACAGATTACCTCCCCTAATTCCAATTGGATGAGGAAAGTAAAAAATACCCACGTGGTCACGTGACCTCATGTATACTTTCCACTTCAATTATCCTTGTCCAATTATATTAAAGTGATAAATTAATTTATGGCATTCCAAATATATGGTATATAATTGTCATGTAATTAATACTTCAAGCCTAGTCTTTGAAAGATAAAATATCTCGACAAGACTTGAAATAGGGGGCATTTGTAATCATTTAAAATTTGTTAAATATAAATTTATAAAATAATTCGAATTATATTAAATTCATAAATATATTAGTCCAAATAAATATTATGTATTAATATAATTGGGTCAATATTTGAATCCAATATATATGAATTTAATTAAAGCCCGCTCCATAAAGCCCATATGCCATGTCACTTAAATCTGATTGGCCAAAGAGAGTCCTCTTCTAATCACAACTCCTCTATGTTAAAACTATAAATAGGGGTCCTCATAATTCATAATAGAGAACCAAGAATTCGAACAAGAAGCTAGAGAAAGCTCGTGGATCAAAAGCCACAATTTCTCTACAAGTTCAAGAATTCAGGAATTCAAGTGTTCAAGTTCAAGATTTGAAGAAGTCAAGATCAAGTTCAAGATCAAGTTCAAGAACGATCAAGATCAAGACCACCCGATTCAAGATCAAGCTCGAATCCCTTGAATTCAACTAGAAAGCCAAGATCAAGATAAAGATCAAGTTCAACTCCAAGTCCAAGTCCAAGTTCAAGTTAAAGATCAAACTCAAGAGCCCTTGAATTATATTTGAAAAGGCAAATTCAGAGGAATCATAGAGAATTGTAACACTCGCACTTGAAATAATAAAATGATTGTTGCATAATTTTCCGGTCTTGATTATTGTTTTCTCGACGCGAAATTTTATTGTCTACAATTATACTGTGTTATTTTGCTTTGATGTTTATTCACAGTTTTTGTATTGATTTGCTGTTCGTTTTGACTCTTACAGTGGCTATGCTTTGAATTTTTTATTTATTTAAATTAAATGCTTAATGGTTAAAAAAAAATTCAATTGTGATTTCATTCCCAACTTATGGATCTTTTATTATGATAGTCTGTCTCATTATTTTATATTGTTAATTCTTTATGACCTTATTCATTTGTTGACATCTAGTTATTTGTTTTAGTGTTAGTTTTGTCTTTATTATGACTATTTTATTGATTGTTCATTTGTTCCGTATGCTTATCTTATTTTGGTTGTTGTTTACTCTACTAATTTAATAATTTAAATTATATTTGCTATATTTTGTTGGATTTAATGTTGTTATTAACAATGGTGTTGCCTTCGGTAAATTTTATACTTTTCATGTTACTGTTACTTTTGTTAATGTTAAGATAATTTTTTGTTATTTTTAATTGATATTGAATAGACTTTATTTGTTAAAATTGGCCAATGAAAAAATCTCTCCGTCGATTTTGGAGGCCTCCCCAATGTTAAAAGACGAAAATTTAGTTTATGTTTATATTCTTTACTAGTTTTGACGCACGTGCGTTGCACGTGAATATCAAACCATGTATTACATTAATAATAATATGAATATTATTAATTTAAAAAATTAAGTAAACAATTATAAAATGAATGATAAAGTATAAGTTCCTATGAATAGTGGATGTAAGCTTTCTTATGATTACTATTGAAAGTTAGTTACTTTTAAAATATTTTAGTTACACATCCTCTTAAATATACTTTCTCCTCCCTCCTCCAGAGTGCATTAATTTATTATTATTGTATTGTTAGAGTTCTTAGTTTTAATATAATATAATATAAATAAATATTGATGTAAAATATAGAAGATATACTAAATTGGATATTTTTAGTTCGATAGTTACACATCCTCTTAAATATACTTTCTCCTCCCTCCTCCAGAGTGCATTAAT